GTGTGTGTGTGTGTGTGTGTGTGTGTGTGTGTGTGTGTGTGTACCTCTGTGTGTGTGTGTGCCTGTGCATGATGTGTGAAGGCCAGAGGTTAATATCCTGGTGTCCTCTTCTATCACTCTCCATTTTTTGAGACAGCTTCTCTTGCTGAACCTGGATCTCACATTTTTGCTCTATCACTGGTCAATGAGGCCTAGGATCCACAGAGTCTGCTCTGCCACCCCAGTGCTGGAGTTATGGAGGTGTGCCCCAGGGCCTTCACACAGGTGTTGGGAATTGGAAGCCAGAGGCACAGGCTTGTATAGATAGCACTTTGTCCACCGAGACACCTCCCCAGTCCTGACACCTAGAGACACCATTTCAATAAACTGCCAAGGCTGGTCTTAAACTCACTCTGTAGCTCAGGAAGTCCTCAAACTATCTCAGACAACCAAGTAACTGAGATTATTGGCCTGTGCAAACAGGTCCAGCCTTCATCACTTTAAAGAGATGCGGAAGTGGGGAGATCACTCAGCTTGCCAACCTTTGACCCCCAGGACTACATATAACTGAGTATGGTGGCACACATCTGTACTCTCAGCACAAAAAGGCTGGGCGGTGGTGGTGCATGCCTTTAATCCCAGCACTTGGGAGGCACAGGTAGGCGGATCTCTGTGAGTTCAAGGCCAGCCTGGTCTACAGAGTGAGTTCCAGGACAAGCTCCAAAACTACACAGAGAAACCCTGTCTCGAAAATAAAAAAAAATAAAAAAAATAAAAAGAAGGGCACAAAAGCAGGAGAATCAAGCTTATCCCCCAGTAAGAAGAAGTTCATGGCCAGCCTGGACTACAGGAGACAGGATCTGCCTATGTATCCCTGGCTGGCTCTCAACATACTCCTGCCTCTGCTTCTACACATGTCCAGAAATGACGTTAGCTTCCTTGTCTTTTCCTCCTCTTACTCCTCCATCATCATCATTTGGCCCAGGCTGGCCTTGAACTCACTATGTAGCTGAGGCTAGCCTCGAACTACTGATCCTCCTGCTTCTACCTCCCTGGTGCTGGGATTGTATGTGTCACCATGTCCAGGAGCAGGAGCTTCTTGGGATAAGCCCGAGGACAGGTCTGATGTGCTGAAGACAGCGGAGAAAAAAAGAACCTGGGTCCTGGCTGATGTCTGCCAGACTAATCACCCGGAATTCTCTATTGCCAAATCTCCTGTTACAAGAATAAAACCTCAGCCTCCTTCCTTCCTGTCCTACGGACCCCCTTCTCTCTTTCATGTGGCTACATTGACTCCTAATGATATAATTAGTGTGTTTTTTGGAAGATTGAAAAGGTCTTAACTCTGGCACCATCACGGGGGTGGGAAGGAAGGGTTAGTTGTGTAAGACATTGAAAGGGAGGGGGGACCAGTAATGAGTGAGAACTGAGACCAGCTCCTAGGTATTTAGCTTTGAGCTGCTGTTGGCTCCACCAACAGGTGCGTGATCACCTCCTGCCCTCACATCCACTGGCTGGCTGCTCCTATCTTCCAGTCAGGCTCCATGCTATCATTTGTCATTTTTTGAGTGCGTGTGTGCAGGTGTGCATGCCTGTGTCCACATGAAGAAGGCAGAAGAGGATCAGGAGTCTGTCTCCTCCAAGCTGGTTTTTTTTTTTTTTTTTGGCTAGGCCTGAAGCCAGCAAATCCCAGAGACCCTCCATCCCTCTGATGCTGGGGGTTACGGGTGTGTGTGTGACACTTAGTTTGTCACATGAGTGCTGGGATCTGAACTCTGGTCCTCAAGATTGCACAGCAAATGCTCTTAGCTACCAAGACCTCTTTCTATTCCCTCCACGTTATTTTTTCCAGACAAGGTATCTGCCTGAGCCTGCGGTTCATGGTTTCAGGGAGACTAGGTGGCAGTCCCAGAATCTGCCTGTCCCGCTCACCCACTGCTGGGGTTACAGGCGTGCACTGCCATGTCTGGCTTTTCCGTGGATGCTGGGGATGTGAATTTGGGTTCTCAGGCTTGCACAGGAAGCATTTTCCTCATCAACTTGTCTTCCCAGTCCCATAACTATCTACTTTTGAGCCCCTTCGTTTTAAATTGACCAAGGTAGTGGTGTTTGATCCCTAGCCACTGCCTACCCCCCCCAAAAAAAAAATTCAGGAAACTCTGCTAACTGAGGTTCTGCTCCCCCTACTTCTGTCCTAGCAAAACCAGAAACAAGAAAGTCTCTTCGCCTCTCAACTTGATCAGCTCCTCATTGGGAAGGGCATTAAATGAGGAGACTCAACTACAGAGCTACAGAGAAAAGATCATGTCAGGGTCACTGCTAAGACAGTGATCCTACTAATCTGAACACAAAGGAGGATCCCAAGGTCAAGGTCACCTGCCTGACCCGGGGAGGCCGCAGCCCCTAAAGCCTAGGAGTCAGCTACCATCCTCTTACTCCTAACAACAGCAGGACCTGGCAGGGACGAGCCCCGCCTTTGATGGAGGGCGGGAGGGAGATGAGCCAATGTGGATGTTCAAGCAGTGTTTAATTGGGGAAGATCTGTGGAAGGCAGAAAGAGGAAGGGAAGGGAGGGAGACTCACTTTATTGTGGCAGGATATTCAAAAGTCATTTGGGACCACCCAGGCAGCAGCGGTTTGTGTGGGCGCACGCATATATGCGTGTATGCACATGTGTGTCCTGATGCTGGGGGCAGGCTGGCAGGCAGGAAGAAACATCTGCTGTGGACCCTAGGGCTGTCTTAAGAGTGTGAATGCTTAAGAGTCTGCAGAGGGCTGGCTGGGGGGAGGGTGGAGATGGGGTGTGGGAGCCCAAGACGCAGGAAGGCTCCAAGAAACATCTGCTCTGTATCCTAGGACTTGCCAGCATTTGAAATAACTCAAGGGTGTGAGACTGCGACCTGGGACCTGCCTTGGGTGTGGGCCAGGGCTGGGGAGGTCTGGGGAGGCCACAAATGCAGATTTTCCCAGGGAGAACAAGAGTAAGCCCTGACTTTCTCAAACCGCCGCCACATGAAACCGGGCATCGGGGAAGAACAGAGGCATGCTGAAATTATTAATTGCTTAATGCTTCCATTGGGAGGTGGGGATTTGATCTCATTTGACCCTGCCTTAGAGTGCAGTCCAGGCTACATCTCCACTACATGGCTGCAGGCGCCTGGGTGCCTGAGATTTCTACCCAGAAGTCCAGACAGATGGTTTGATCAAGGGTTCCTATCCTCCCAGACCTAACTTTTCTTTTTCCTCTGGCTTGCCCCCTTCCCAGTGTCAGGGATCAAACTTAGCTAGGGTCTTGGGCATGCTAGACAAGCAGTCTGCCACCAGCTACATCCCTAGAGATCTTCCTTCTGGCTGTCCCTTTGTCTCTGTCTCTCTGAGACAGGCCATTGTTGAATTCCTAGACTGAAAGCAATTCTCTTGCCTCAACCCCTTGAGTAGCTAGAATGGCAGTCCTCACTTCCAGTTTCCTGGTCTCCCCCTGCCTTCTCTTACACAACGTGACTACACTCTGCTCTGTTTTGTATGGAACTTATCCCAGCGCACACTTTACTTTCTTTGGCTACTGAAAAAAGTGAGT